CAGAGCAGCATCCACTCTGTCGCCACAGGCCGCACCTACGTCGACGACGAACCCATCGCCATCTCCGTGTTCCGCCGCCTTGAGGAGCTCTGCACCACGCCCGAGGCCCGTGAGAGCCTGCGAGCCTGGCAGCTGTCGTACGCGCGCAAGATCAAATGCGTCAAACTGCTTCCTCCGGGCGAGACAATGGATGGCTCTGCTCCTCCTCGTTGTGACGGCGTCGTCGCTCGTTTCCTGGCCCGCAGGAGCGTCAGCGAGCACACGGATGGAAAGGCACTCAGCAGCAACTTGAAGAGGCCCGTTGTCAGCAAGAAACCGAACAATGTCTGACAGGATGAGAGGTAACAAATATGGGCTTTGAAAAGCTAAGCACTGTTGACGAAGGGATTGTCTACCTACTGTACTTGTGTTTGGATGTTGTTGGTATTGGTCGGGATTGTTGCTTTGGCTCGGAGGACGTCGCTGCTCATGTTCAGTCGGATCGGGAGCGAGCAGCCACTGGATGTGGAACCTTGGCCTAGGAGAACGGATGGATAGACAACTGTATCAGTAGCACCAAAGGAACAACACAAGAAATGACGCCCAGCTAATGAAGAGTTCGTTCAAAGGTATCTCGTCGCCATGTATCGTGCCAAAACGCCTTCCGGCCCGCAGGCCATGCGAATCCCAACTCCGGCTCGTGAACCCCCGCTGTATTCCCTTGTCTTTCCTGACATTCGTCTACTACACATAAACAAGACGACGCAACTTCAAGCGTCGGGTTATTCTCCCATCCATCGCCGCCGCTCGACCTCGTCCGCGCCCGGGACGACCCCCTTCATCTGATCCATCCTGTCCAGCTGGTCGGTGTTCTACGCCTTCTTCCGCAGCTTGAGATAATCGCGGATCTGCTCATGCTTGCTCGCGAAGAACATGCGCTTCCGATCGTTCCGCCACGCCAGCACGCCAATCTCGTCGGCGAACCGCGCGATATCCCTGTACTCGGCATCGTCGTCAAAGTCGCGGAAGAGGAAGCCAGACGTCGTCTTCATGCGCTCGTTCTCGAGTTGCCAGAGGCGGATCTGGTCGACGACGGTGGGCGGGAGGACGGGCTTGCCGTCGGCGGCGGCCTGCCTGTGCATCTGCTCGTGGGCGTGGGCGGCGAGGTAGGAGATGATCTGGTCGGCTGTGATGCCAAAGTCGATGGCCTGGCGGACGGACTGGCGAGTCAGACGACCCGAGACCATGCCTGGGAACTTGACGGAGAGGTGGCAGAAGAGGGAGAGAACGGCGATCTGCAGCTGCGACGTTGTGTACGCGTAGACTCGGTAATTGGTCTCGACGATGATGCCGTTCGTCTGGTCGCCTGGTCCGCCCTGGGATTGAGACAGGGCGTTCATACCATCGGTCAGGGTGCGCGTCGCCGTCGATACGTTAGTGAGGGCGCGTGCTTGGGGCGTGACAAAGTACTGGAAGGGTTTGTGGGAGGGTATGTAGACTAGGCCAAAGTCCATGAGGCTCGGAAGCATGTCTTGGCGCTCTTTGCTGAGGGCTTCGGTGTCGTAGACCTCGTCGAGCTCAAGGATCGAGAGCTGGAACAGGAAAGAGAGCATATCCGTATGCTTGGCCGTTTGCTGGTCGGTCGCGTCGAGCCACAACAACAGCAGCGTCCAGACCTGCGCGTTTTCTTCTTGCAGCAAAAATGTGAAGCCAGCCTGCGTGATTGTGGTGCTGCCGCCTTGGCGCTTGACGAGCTGGCCCGCGAGGAGAAGCTCCTTGACGGAGTTCTTAGGACCGCCGCTGTCGACGAAGCCGGGCGTCACGCTGTTGACAATGTAGTGTAAAATGGCGTCCCATTTCTGGCGTGCGTGTTTCTCGATCGACTCAATCGTGATTTCGGGTGAGCGCGGGTGCGGAGAGATCACGCCGAAGGAGCCTGGTGCTCCGTTGCCTTCGAGGGCCTCGCGGTAGGACTTCGAAAAGTTGGCCGTGAGCTGTATCATTTGCGGAGCGCCTTGTGTTGGAACAGACATCTGTAACATGTGTAGACTTCGGAGTTGTGCGAGAGCATGATCTTTGGCTCTGCTTGGGTCAGCGGTGCAACAAACAATCCTCGACGGTGCGCGTACCTCTTGTACTCGGGCTTCACGCGCGCCTCGAGGTCTGCTATTGGTATCGGTCCGGGAAGGTATAGGAGCATTGTCACAAATGTCTTGGCTGAGAGAACGTCAGCACATAGTCGGTGGTCAGAGGCCTTGGTGTCCTACCCAGTGGCGACAACATGCGTCTTGAGATGCATAATGCCGTGGAGGGGTTCAGGTACAGCTTTCTAAACGTTGTACCGGGCAGCTTCTCCAGGTAGTCGGCCAGCTGGAGCGACTTCGTCAAGCCGGCCGACATGATTGCCAGGATCCGCGCGAAGGGCGGTCTGTACTGTGTCTATTCCCGCTAAGCGATTGATGTTGTATTCGATGGCACCTCGCGGTGTGCTCATGCACGTGGAATTCGCGTTCCTCGTCTCGATCGTGGGGGAAACTAGGTTTGCTGTGGTGTAGAAAGTCGAGCAATCATAAGGTGATATTGCAATGCCTGGATTCTTCGTTATGATAGCTTGGCCGGCGCACTTGCCGTGGACAGCTGCGCTTGGATTGTTGGACAGTAAGTCCGTCCTACAAGACTTGTCATGGTGGTCTGGAAATCATCATCGAAGCTTGAGCTCACGACGCTTATCGAGAGACCCTGCCTTATCGATGGATGCGTTCTTATTGGTTATTCTGCTGCAGCCTAATGAGCCATTGATGTGCTCACGTGACGCGAAGTGCCGAGGTCAGACATGCCGACCGTTATCCAGCTTATCGCGGCCCTTGTCGGGGCTCTGACGTCGCCCTCACGAAGTTCATCTGGAGTAAGGAGTAGGAGCAGAGCATTTTGCTGACATTGCACATCATCTCTGCGTTTTTAAGAAGATCAATTGCTCTCGTCTCCTGCTTAGGGTTTCATGCAACATATCACGGCACCATGCCGCCACGTCTGACGCCTCTGCGCTTCGTGCGATCCGTATGTCCGACAGATGCTAGCTTATGTCTGTCTAATTGACGATGTTCCTGACAAGAGCGCAGGTTATGAACTCTTTCACCAAGGACTCAGGCCTTGAGCCGAGGTATATGACCCTCTCCAAAGGTTGCTTGATATTTCAAATACTGATCGTCCCAGATTGCTTGGCGAACACGTCCGTAACTCCTCACACTGAGTAAGATCGTTGTCATCGATTAACAGCTGCCTAGTTTCGAGTCACCAATGCGACTAATGGAACCGTCGACTTCGAGCTCGACATTCAGAAGCAACACACTGTAAGGAACACCCGGGGGTTTTCTCGATTCTTCGCCCGTGCTCACAGCATAGAACCGCCTCAAAACCATACATGGTGGGACCCTTGCATCTCTTGTCGACCTGGGAGGCTCGCTTGCCGTGGCAAGCACCGGTCGTTTCGCAACAGGTGTCTCAACGGATTTGAACGTCACATACATCGCCCCTGGCGGTGTCGTTGGCGATCGCATGACTGGGCAAGCCGTCTGCGACAAAATGGGCCGCACTCTGGCGTATACGACCGTGAAGTTCTTCAACAAGAAGGGCGAGCTGGCTGCGAGGGGTAGCCACACCAAGTAAGTCCGAGCCCGGAGGCATCAAAGTTATCTATTGACCAGTATAGATACGTGTCCAAGACATGGGAAAATGAAGATTATGTTGCCCCAGCCGAGTTTGTAGCACCTGAGGAGGACCAAGTAAAGAATGACGAGGTCGGTACGCTGAAGAAGACGATCACTTCTGGGAGGGAGTCATCTGGCGTCTGGGGGAGGTCGTAAAGAAATGGCTGCAACAGAGACATATACCCGACATAGATATAGAACTCGGTATTACTATCATATCTCTGCGATCCCTACTCAGTTGTGAATCCCGAACGCCTCAGAATACGCCCAGTGTGCCGTTATGCATGTTGTGCCTGGAATCGTTCTGAACATGATCGTCAAGTCGTTAAGTCTTTCGTCTTGCACCATTACATAGATCGTCTGCCGGACTCAGAGCTTCCCGCCCAGCTCTCGGCTCGTGCACACTCCGGCAGTGCTGGTGCCAAGATCATCTCTCCCTTGGGGCCCTTCCTTACTGCCCAAGACTCGCTGTCTCTCTCTTTCGCCAGATTACATAGCATGATGAGTATACCAAGCATAATCCATCGAATGACAGCTGTCAAAATGGGCTCCCAGACAGGGAACGACCGAGAAGTCATGTCCTTGTCTAGCAGCACCCAGAGTGCAGCTCTAGCAATGTCCCAGGAGAGAACGATCGACAATAGGATACCGCCAATCAAGGCGAATACGGGGGACTGCGTCAGGCGTTAGCGACTGTTGCCACATGAAGTCAGGGAGACGAGGAAACTGACTCTTCGGAGGTACTTCCCTCTGCCACGACGAGCGCATGCAAACGCGCTGACTATCACCAAGCCCACGGTACTGACGAGAAGCAGCGCGGCGATTGCGACCAGCATGCGGTTAGCTGCGATGCGGTTGCTGCCGCCCTGGCCCTGAGTTGGAACGACAAACGGGCTCGAAGTCGCGTCATCATACACGGACCTGTCGGCATCGACAGCAAGCCCAAACTGCGCGATGGCCAAAATAATGAGGAGCGCGGTAAAGCAATACACGACGAGCCTTGCGAAACGGGGATGGCTAGTGTGGCCACCCGCCTGAGGGATCTGGATGGCGAAGAGGAGTTCCCAAATAGCGCAAATGAGTAATGACTGAGCGATCAGGAGCATCCATGTCGATATCTGCGCGAGGATAGGTGCTGTAAGATATATGTTCCGTCGCCAATCTGTGTCGGGGTCCCTGTTGTCGAGATGCTCAATCTCGTAGCCGCGAGCTGCGGTGTATAGGATTGTCCACCTGCGAGAAGGTCAGCACAAGAGCCCGTGGTTTCGATTAGTCGGCCGTACAGTGAATACGTGACAAGAGCCGCTCGTAGAAAGAATACCCATGGCTTCGTTGGTTCTTTTTTGAAAATTTTTCAGACGAAACGATAGCAAAGTAAACACGAGGGCTGGAATGATGGTTAAGCCAGTCAAGGCTGTAGCAATGATGGAGGCGATGCGTGTAAGTGCCATCATCTAGTACCTGGCGTGTACGATTGACCGACGTCTGGACTACCTGGGTACTGCACAGGTTGTCACAGGCTGGGGCTTGCTGCTCCTTATTAGTGTGAAACACATACTCCCCTTCAAGAAAGTAAAGAGCTTGTGTGTTGGGTAATAGTCAATTTATCCTGTTCTGCGTGTTCATTGATGATGGCCCGCTCGTCGTGGGTGTATGACTGCCGACGCCGAGCTGACGTTGGCCAAGCTCTGACCTCATCATTGGTCGGCCATGACACTCGTTGACGCCAGGCGAAGCCCGCTAAGAGCTTGGAGCTTGGAGCTTGGAGTTTGGAGCTTAGAGCTTCAGGTGGCCGAGTCCACTTCCGGAGCATAGCGGCTCGGCGCCAATGAACATGCGTAGGCCTTTTTCGTGCCAAAGCTGCACGCAGTAGTCATTGCGTCAAGTAAGTGGCTTACACCTACAAAATCCAGCGTTAGAGTTTCTTGGCCGTTGTTCTGTCGCAAGACATGGTGGCTGGCTGTTCAAAATCTTAGTAGGAGCCAAGGGAGTTTGCACTGGGCATGTCTCACTACTTTCTTCTGCGGCTCTACTCGGGTCGCGATGATTCATGATCGGTCCGTGGATCATGCATGCGCATCTACTGAGGACAGACTTGCGTACCACCAGTTCAAGTCACAATCATCCCCTGCAATTTCATCTCTGGTACCGTTCCATAATCGCTTTCTACCAGAAAATGGGCTGAGACTCTGGTGGATTTAGCTGGACCAGCAAAGTCGCATAAGAATCAGGCGACAATATTAAATCCTTGGAGGCGTCTACGAATAGACTGGAGATGACGGCATGGATTTAATACAGGGCATCAGCAAAATCGGGAACACAACCCTTGCCGTCTTTCTTTCAACTCAACTCATGTGAAGCATCTTGTTAGGAGAACCCCGTGGAACCACGGCATAGTGGGGTCAGCCAGGGACTGAGGGCTGCGAGAGCGTATACATATGGATCGCGGAGGGCAAGAATACAGACGTATTCCGTCCCCCTACCTAAATTCTAAAGCGCTGCGAATCACGCGTGGAAGACCTCGTCACTCTGGCCCAAAGCAAGCACTGGCAAACAAATAAATTGAAGAGGTCTTCGATAGGCCGTATCTACAGGAAATGATTAAAGAAGTGGTAAGAAAAGACTTGAAGTCTAATACTCAGTAGGTTGGAAGTGTGTTCATACCCCTTGCATGTACGCTGCAGCAGTCATAGGCCCCTGAGACGAGCTCGAAAGGTTTCTTCATTTCGCTTCCGTTTCTGCTTATTAGCTCGTTTCACATATACATTTCCTTACTATATCGTCGTCGTTTGCCAGAGTTCCCCAACGATATATAGTAACATCCTCTACAGATGAGTATACCATCTCGTATAGCTCTCCCGCGTATCCTCGACATCTACGTGCTAGCTGAGCGTGCGAATGTGCATGGTTCAAAACGTGAGATGCTAGTGCAGGATATGCTTCCAAGGCTTGAGACTTCAAAGAATCAACTTCCGAACCTTTGCTTCCGTGAACATTTCTGTCCGATTGGGCATGGAGTAGTTCCCATGACCGATTCGTTTCAAGAAGCCCATGGCCACTTGCTTCGTGGCCTTCGACCAATTCCATGGGGGCTCCCCTTGACGTTGATTCTGGCGAGTCTGACTGTTCTAACAGGCTGTGATAGTCAAAGATTCTGCGACTATGAGGAGTACGTATAGGTCCGTATGTCTTGCGTTCTTCTGATTCATCAGCGGTGTAACCCGCGGTACAACCATTTTGCGAATTGGACGAAGCCGAGGATCCAAAGCTGATGAAACTTGCGAGACGTTCCGCGCGACCGGATTGTTTCGCTCTGCATTTACCTCTTGCTTCAACAAAGCTGTCGAGCTCAGATATCCGAAGATAATCAAGGCAGGCACATAAAACAACGATGTGACCTTGTTCAGAAAAGTCATAGTACATGTCCTTTCCGAAGAACTTGTTCGCACCACCGCTCAGGAAGATTTCAGCAACACTTTCGTGGATAAGTTGTACCACTCGACTGTCTCCTGTAGTGCTGTCGAATGAACCGGCGCCTGCAAGCGCAGAAGAGGCGTCATCTGCAGAGTTTGTTACACTTTCATCTGATCTGATTTCAATCAATCCTCGCGAAAGGCTTTTGATTTGCCGCATAAGCTGACAATCTGTAATCAGCCACCTTAGACATCCTAAATTGCCAAAGCCTCTTCGGTATTTTAAGGGGCAATCTATCCCGAAAAGTCTTACCACGGAAACTGTGCTTAAGCCAGAGCGCTGAAAACACGTGCTGGCATCGTTCCAAATCAAATTCTTCAGCGACAAGCTGTCAAGAATCAGCGCATTAGTTCCCATCAGGGCGAAGCTGGCCAATTTCCGAAAATTCTCGCCGACATGTGCAACTAAACTGCCATGGCGTGGCAAACCCATGAACACTTTACCCGCTATATTGTCGACAACTTCGGTGGCCGCGGGATATGCCGAGCTAGAACACAATCCCAACGTCTTGGAAGATGGTTAGAAATCAGTTCATGGCTCGAAGATTGGGATTCTTGAGGTGAATACATACCTCTTTGAGCAGGATTCTGCCGAGAGAGTGAGTTACAAAGATCACTGGCCGGCCTAGTGGCCTCTTGCGCTGCAGCTCATGGAGAAGATGCTCACCGTGTTTGAAGATGCTGTTACGATTCACAGCTCCTGAAAGACGCAAATCTGCAATGGATGTTTTATAGCCGAAGACCAAAATGCGGGCTTCTGAACAGTCATTTGAGAGGAAGCCGCTGGGCCAGAAGGGTTGGGATGTCCGCTCATCACCACTGACGGCCGAATGTCGCTCAGTGGTCTTCTTGCGTGAAAGGAACCGTTTGATCGGTGATGCAGACTGACTGCCCCCCTGGCTAGTTGATTGCGACGAACTCCCCTCCCCTGTATCGGTTTGCCGTCAAGGTACTCACTGGGTTCATTTCGCCGGCCCATGTCTTAACTGGATGACCTTGCAGTCCATGGATCAGAATGATGCTGTGCATCTTACTAGTGGAAGCCCACAACGCCTTGATGCAAGACTAAATACAAGGTTACGTACTCAAGAAGTGGTTCATTCATGGGCTGATATACCACAGATAGCCCTGTGTCTGCTATCATTGAACTTAGCTTTTGATGCGAATAGTTGTGTGGTGGGACCAACCTGGCATCTTGTTTCGGTTGCTGGGCGCCCGCACCCCCGCACTCCAGCCTCAAGCCTAGTCGGGGGCAATATGGAAATGCTCATTGCATCTTCATTATCCATAGCTCTAGAATGTTTTCGATGACGACGAAAATGAACAGGGCCCAGTGTCATGCCATAAGTGTTGGGCCAAGTCCCCAGAGATGGATGACCAGGCTCCGGGCTGCGGGAGTCTTGTGATGGCAACAACGAAGTATCACGTGTCCCATGCAAGGTGGAGGAACTGGCCTATCAAAAACTGAATGAACGAGACGCGGCACAAGAATCTGATTGAGGGACCAGAGTGAGCGCCGTGCTGCTTCGAGTCTTTGTCTGTCAGACAGGTTCACAGTTACGCAGGCTACACTCGGCACGTTTCCTTGCCTACTTACTACAAGGTACATCTCCAGTGTGGCTGATCAGCGCCTGGGATGAAACGAGATGGAGCATCTTGTACTTACTTGGCGCCATTGACAATCCCAAACCTGGCTCTCTTGCGTTCTCAAATGCGTATTTTTGACGTCTTGGCAAAATATTATCACTATTGACACCCCATTACTGACATCCCATTATTGACATCCAGATAGAACCCACTTTCCAAGTTCTCGTCGTTTTGCACAGTGCATTCTCATGATTTGGGTCCTGGCATTACATCCCCATAAGAGTTCGGCTGCAACGGAGGATGCATCTATGCTGGAGATCTAATGTCGGGACTGAGCCGGTTCATCTCCTCCGCCTCCTCACCAGCAACACCTTCATAACCCCAGTCTCCGCTAGATCGGAGTCCATCCTTTTTCAAAGAGGCCACAAATCCAAGAACGAGCGCTGCTGCAGAGGGAAAGCCGACGTCTATCAAGACATCCATATTTGCCGAGAAGGGCCCAGGAGCCACGGGATCGATCTCGTATGCGAAAGCAAAGAACATATTCCACGTGCTCCTGATCAGGACGAGAAACGACGCCACGAGACAGTACAGGGCAAGCTAGACAGTTAGTATTCACTCCCTAAATACGACGAGACAACTTACCCTGTCGAGCCCGGCCGATTCCTTCGTCCTCCTCCACGTGAACACACCAGTGCTACAGAGCACCATGGCCTGCATGGAGCTGATGAGGTCATACCCAATCTGCCACCTCGTGGCCGTCTGCGCAACGTCGCCGTCCGCGCCCTCAGCCTTGGTGCCCGCATCGAACGAATTGCCGTTGGCCCTCGCCGCCTGGATGAATCCGAACCGGAGCACGGCGAATGCACACAGCCCAGCGGACAGGAATCGCACAAGATCAAAAACCTTGCCGTGCGTGAAGGGTTCCTGCCAAACGTAGTTGACGGCTGCCAGCAGCGCCCCGGCGTAGAACAGCAGGGCGACGGACAGGAGGGCTGTGCCGAGGTTTTTCGCCATTTCGCCGACATCGCGGAGGCGCATGAGGATCTCGGCCAGGGAGGCTGTGGCAGGGCCGTGGATGTCGGGGGTCGTCGCGGCAAGGTGGGAAAGCGTCAGGGTGCTTATCGCGAGGAAGACATTGGCGCTGCAATCGCCGGGTTAGCTGGTGCGAGGAGCGGCTGAGGGGTTCATCGAGAGGAGCACGTACAGCGCGAAGGCGAGAACGCCATGTCTCGCCCAAGGAACGAAGCGACGTGTCGGGTCTTCATCGCGGGGTACGGCGAGTAGCAGGTAGATGTAGGCGCTCGAGAGAACGACGGCGAGGATAGGGTAGATGGTCGTGGCGAGGAGTTGCTCCTCTGCGGGATCCTCGGTGAAAATGCCGTCGGAGACCATGGCATCGATTGGAGGCTAGCGATACATCGGTGGCGAGTGCGCCAATGCGACGTGTGTCGATGATCTCGAGGTCGAGTGACGAGTGCTCGTGTTCAGAAGTTGACACAAGGGCCTTGATCGTGGCTCTCTCTGAAGCACTGCCAAGAGCGGCCCGGGACTCCGAGCGCCGTGGAGCCAGAGTGCGTCAACCCAGCACGCTGTAGACGGGTATGTGCATCTGGGCCTGTAATGACCACTCGAGGCCTGCAACGTATGATGAAAGGAACTGCACGTCAATAATTGTAATTCTGAACAGTCGTCGCTACATATTGTCCCGACATCGATTCGACCATGGCTGCGACCCAAATTTGTTGGTGCAGGCCAACCTGTGGAGATGCAAGTGGGGAAGGAAGGAAGGAAAGCCTGGTTGCTTGCTGTAAGGTACCGACAGAAGGATCCAGTAACTAGAGAATCCCCCGAGAGCACTTTCCCCTGAAGCTTGTGGAATTGACGGAGCGAGAGGCAATCACTGAGGCAGCCACTGCCAGATGACCAGTCCGTTGGATCGGGCAGCGAGGTGGGCAGAGCTACGATACTTGGTCTCGGTACCTTAGGTACCTGTAAGGTAACACCTACCTAAGGCGCCTAGATACCACGATGCACATGGAAGGTACGTCCTGCCGCGGACACACTAAATGGACGGCAAGACAGACAAGCACACCGCAAGCCATCACTCTGTTCGTTCATTCTGTCGTCCAATCCTCTTCGCATGATCAGCAGTCTCCAAAGGCTTCATGTCGGAGGACCACTAGAGCCAAATCAACAATGGAACGTTCGTTCGGCGTCTCGGAACGATGTTTGGGCAGTCAGGCAACCCAGCGTCCAAGCAGCAGCCAGGGATGGTCGATCAATTCTTCCACGTGCAATGCGGAGTCGTCAGACGCATTGCCTCGCTCGGCACTGGCTTCTGATCTCATTCCCAACGTCCGACAAGTACGACATCAAATGCCAATTCCAATGGTGCCTGCAGACGCCGGGCCATCGCCGCCATTGGGAATAAACCGCGCACGCAAGCAACGAAGGGCGCTCTCTGCGAACCACGGCCGCCCATACCTACCTACTTCATCTTCGGTTCCCAGGTCAGCAACCATTAAGGCATCTATTGGGCAGGAAAGATGTCCGGGTCTGTGCGTCGCCCAAGTGGACCTCCGCCGCCTTACGGTGGGCTGGACAAAGTGGACGACGAGGACAAGTGGTACATGGTAGTATGGCGTCGACCGCTGAGACACGACAGGGGCCGAGCCGCGCCTGGAGGGGCAGCGCAAGGCAGAGAATCGGTGCCCGACGTCATTGTTGCAGGCGGTCAAGACAAAGGGCAGGGTTGGTGCCGGCGACGGGCTGCGCGCCAGCGACGGGATGGCCCCGGGACTTGTGTTGGTGACATGTTGCGCGCTGGTCTACTGGCGCTGCATACATGGTACGCTCAACAAGCTCTGATGCCGACCCTCCAAAAGACCCCGAAATGCCACATACACGATACCACATGTCGGAGCCGCCCAGAACATACCACACGCCGCACCAGATGGTCAGTCAATCAGCACTGTACCAGGGCATGGGGGCGATCTCCCGGATGGAGCATCCAGGGGCAAAGAAGACACTGCTGCCCGAGAGGCGACTTTGGGCATGTTGGGTTGGTGGTGAAAGGCAGAAAAGGCTAGACCCTGGCGGCTGTCATGGACGAGATGGGGAAAAAGAACGACAGCCGCTGGGATGAAGGGTTGTAATTTGAAAAGGTATAATGAGGGTCGTGATGGACTCAAGCAGGGAGGACCTTGTCTGCCGGCTCGCACGTCGCCGCCCGTGGCATGACTCGCTGGGCAATCTGTTAGGGATTTCCTCAACAGCCCGCAGTGTCTGGGTTGGAGCATTGACAGCAGCACTAACACTTATGCCCCCCCTGCTGCGCGTCCAAGATCCCCCACCTCTAACCTCAATCGTCGTCATCAAAGCCGGTTTCCCCTCCATGGTCGACTAGCTAGGCCAAGTCTCGTCAATCCAGAGGTTTGTCGACATCGTATCCTGGGGCCTGGAACCATCTCATCTCATCCCCTCGCCTTGGGCTTCTCGCAAATACAAAATCATCTCTCTCCCCCACCTGCACAGATCATCTGACCAGCCCCCTCCATTTCCATGGTATGGACAGGTCCTCCTTTGCCTTTTAATACTGCTGTCTCTTGTCGCCAGAGACAGAATCTCGTCCACAGCAACCCAGAAGCGAACGCGCCAACCACAGCCCCCTCCATCACAGGCCAACGTCACCTGAGAGGGGTCACGGTCGCAACGACAGACCACCCAACAACCTGTGATATCACCCGGCACCGCCATTCCACACCCCCCCCCAAATCAGCCAGTCGCCATCCATCTTTGGCCCTCTGCCGCCGCCGTCAAATCACATCTCACGGCTCTGGTTCTCTCTGTGTTCCAGGCGTCGTTTCCACTTTCCGCCACAACATCGGATCCAACTTCCCACTTGGTCCGCCCCGACATTTGCGTCATACGTCTCTCGGCTGCCACCACACACACACATATCGCAGCGATCCCGTCTTTCCAGTACTCGACATCGACTGTCATCTGACCTCCGTCTGGTTTGCAGACCAACATCGACAGCAACTCCTTTTTTGTTGCATCAATTTGTCGATCATCAGAACCGAGTCCTTCCTGGAGACTTTGTTGATCTGTTTCCATCACCGCTTTGATACCCGTTCCTGCAGATTCGAAACTTCCAACCATGGCCAACCGCTGGGATCGCGATCGCTTCGCCTATGAGCGAGAGCGGGATCGCTTTGATGATCGGCCACCTCCCCCTAGCCGCTTCGAAGACCGACCGCCTCCTCGATTTGACGATCGTGACGATGCCTACTCTCAGGTGCCTCCCCCTCGCCGCCCTCGCGAACATTCTGACGAGCGATACGACCGCTACCCACCTGCTCGCCCCCCTCCTGGCCGAGGCTTTGATGACGATCGTGATTTTGTCCAAGACCGTCGCTACTACGGCGACGACGACCATCTTCCCCCGCGCCGGGATGAGCGGGATGTGGAGCGCCGTGTCTACATTGACCGTGAGAGGGAACGATACGCGAGCCCTTCGCCTCCCCGCCGGCCCACAATGGTCCGCCGTCAATCATCCCTAGACACCTTCGACCGCCGCCCGCTGCATTTCCTCGACCGAGAGCCCCGTGAAGAGTATGGCCAGATGACTCGTCGCGAAGATTTCCGACGGGAACGCGAGCGTGAGGAGTTCCGAGCGCCCCCTTACCAGCCAATCCCTCTGCCTCGCACCCGCCAACTCGGCCCTGCCCGACCAGCACCCTACGATGACATTTCAGTTGCCGAACCTGGCTACTACGGCGACGAAGAATTCCGTACCATGCCGGAGCGTGTGCGCGAACGAGAGATTATCCATGACAAGTCCTCGCGGCGGCGTCGCGACCGCAGCCGCGAGTCGAGAACCACCAAGACATACTCGCACCGCGGCAGTTCACGCTCGAGCAGCACCAGCAGCCGCACGTCGAGCGACAGTGGCGGCACAGCCGTCCGCAGTGAGTACCCGAAAAAGGGCAAGACGAGAATTCCCGCCCGACTGGTGTCCAAGAGGGCACTGATTGAGCTGGGATATCCTTTCATTGAAGAGGTAGGTTCTCCTTGCTGATCGCGATTTTGCTCCTTTGCTGACCATTCAGGGCAACACTGTTATTGTACTCAAGGCTCTCGGCCAGGACAATATCGATGAGCTGCTCAAGCTCAGCGAAGAGTTCAAGAAGGGTATGCAGAGCGTCATTATGACACTACGAACGACGCTAACTTTCAGCAGGTGAGCTGGAACTTCTTGAGGAACGTCGCGAGGAGGTTTTCACCATCGCTCCTCCTCCACCTCCTCCGGCACCCGTCGTCGTCGCACCCCCACCCCCACCAGCGCCAGCTCCCGTCGCTACACCTGTACCAGTCGCCACAACACCAGTTCCACCACCTGCCCCTGTCGTGGTCCCTCCGCTCCCCGTGCCCGTCGTTGCACCGGCTCCTCCGCCCCCAGCGCCTGTCTACTACGAGGCGCCGCCTCCACCGCCGCCCCCAGCGGAAGTTGTTTACGATCGCACCGTCATCCGCGACGTCTCGCCCAGTCGCTCAGTTTACTCTTCCGCCTACACTGATTCGGGTGCTCCCCTCTACCACGAGCACCGTGAAATGTCATCCGAGATTCCGGTCGGCCCCATGGCTCTCGCAACGCGCCATCGCTCACAGTCCCGCTCTCACCGCGAGATTCGTGCCGAGATCAAAGCTCTCGAGGCCGAGATGCGCGACACCCGCATCTCGAAGCGTCACGAGCACCGCCACGACCGCGACCGCGAGATTGTGCGCGCCGAGCGCATGCCCGATGGCGCCCTCGTGCTGTTCGAAGAGAAGGTTGAAAAGGTCGAGCACGGGCACCGGCCGGCGAGGATCGAGAAGGACAAGAAAGGTAGGATGGCCATCAGCATCCCGAAGAAGTACCTCTAGGTGCGGCGTGCTTTTTTCCTCTCTTCTCGAAAATCGGGGACGACCGAGACACGACAGTTACTGATGCTTTCTCTTCGACAGGGCCGTCCCCCGGTTTGATGAGAGCCATGCTTGCTACTCTGACATGAAATGTTCCTGATTTCGAAACGGCCTCCGCATAGGTGTCCAGACAAGACAAATGGAGGTCTTGTGAAGGGATTACAGAAGACGGTCTTGGACGTCCTAAAATTACTCGGTCTGGCAGAGAACGGACGTGAAATGTTGAATATTGGATGTGGATATTACGTTGCGGCGCTGTTCTTGGGTTTTCTGGCACGCTAGGTTCGGGGAAGGTATCTCAATCACCGTACTGTAGAGGTGTATACGAATTATGACTTGTACTGTGTCCAGATCGGTTCTGTGATGCTACTGTTTTCAAAGATCTGTCAAGGCTGGGTAGCGCGCTCCCCAGGCCCGTCGAAGGAGAC